CATTCTTAGGTTTACTTTCCTTCCCAGAAGCTGGCAGACCATTTCCCTAACTTACCTCACCCACTAAACCAAAGAACTGCCGTAGGGTAACTGTTAACAACAGAGATTCCAAGATTACTTCCCTGGAACCTGGTCCAAGAGGTCTCTGAGTGAGGCTTTATTCTTATTATTACTAGTACTATGCCCATAAGAACAGTCTTAGTCTTTTTTTTTTTTTAAAGATTTATCTATTTATTCATACATAACTGGGGTACAGACCAGAGATGAGGAGGGTGAGAGGATTCACCAGAGACAGAGTGGGGAGCAGAACAGGCAGCTTTACTGAAATATACTGCTGAGGGGAGCAGCGGGCAGGCAGGAGAGGTCTGCCACGCCATGTGGTCACCTCCAGGGCAGGCGGGGATCAAACTCATGTGGAAGTGGCTTAAGCTTCTCAGTGCTGTGCTTTAACCCGCTGCGCCACCAGGGAGGGCCAGAACAGTCTTAGTCTTAATAAATGAGAATCTCATTCTCAATGAGTGACCACCCACCCTACCGCAAGTATTTCTTATCATCTGGTAAATTTACAAGCACTAGACTTGATCCCAAGCTGCTGGCCTTCTCTCTGATTTGACTTTCACACTCTGGGTATTTCATAATGATGTTCTTAAACACAAAATTATTGTACAAAATAATAAACACAAAATCATTCATACATTGAAAGATCAATAAAAATATGACCCTGGACTCTAAGCAAGTGGAACATTATTTGGTGAGAAAAAAACTTTTTAATATTAAATTCTCAGCAAATTAATATGTAAAGACTTGTATGGAAGAAATAATTATATACTTAATATTTTCAGTAAAAACTACACATTGCACTCTTTCCTTAAAGACATCATCTGGGAATGCTACTTGTTCTTAACTAAGAAAAAGTAAGAGGGGGCCTCCCTGGTGGCACACCGGTTAGAGACAGTGCTATCAAGCAGTTTCCTGTCTTGTCCATGCTCCCCCCAGCAGTATATTTCATAGATCTGCCAGTTTTTTTTTTTTTGCTCCCTACTCTCTCTTTCGTGAATATGAATACTCTCAACCCGCCACACCTCTGGCCTACACCCCATCTCTTGTACACATGAATAAATAAATCTTTAAAAGAAAAGAAAAGAACGTAGCTAAGCCTGAGCAGCTATAAACAAGTACTGGAATGCAATAGTTACAAAGCTAAAAAAAAAAAACCAAACAAGAAAAAACAGTAGCTAGTATTAATTCTTCAAATTCAATCTCAGAGTAGTCAGCTGGATGGGATGACCTCCCTGCAGGTTTTGTTAAAGGTTTTGTGTCATGTAAGTGGGGAGTCCTTTCTATGTAGACATTTACCTTTTCCTTCCTCTATACTATTTTGCTTTCGACAATTTTTCTAAAATTCCCATAGTCCTCTAATGGTATTTACTTTTATTCTCTTATTTAGATTTACAAACAACTACAAAGTTAACAAGAAAAGACATTACATGGGCACTGAGAGCTGGCCGATGTGCGCTGACAACTATGACATGGGCAGTTATAAAAAATGGACAGATTGAGATTAAAGCACAAATCGGAGTCTGTGTCACCTTTGCAACAGAAACAGATGACACACTAAGTGAAACATTGCTACATGCTTTAGCTTCTAGAAAAACAGCAGTAGAGTAGTCACTGAAGTAGCATACCAGTACTATAATGTGAGTATAAAACATTTCCAAAGTGGATCTTGATACTTGACCTGGAAATACTGGAAACAATTCATCAGATTTGTGATCATGGAACCTAAAAATGATGATCTGTTTTAATGGCAAAAGTGGAGCCACCAGCAGCTATGTAGAATATCACAGAAGCAAGGTTATAGGCTTTATGTGTGTGTGTGTGTGTGTATATATGGCTTTCCAAATATATATACACATATGTATTTATACAAACGTATATGTACATATATACAATTAAATATATAGAGAGATAATTAAATACATTTCTGAGTCTGTGAAACAAGGTATTGACGGATGACCTAATCTCTTTTTGCCTTAAAATAGAAATTTAAATCAGGATCAAGGGGACCAGCATGAAAGAGATGTTAAGAGAACAAGTTCTGATGTCACATAGGCCTGAGTTAAAATCCCAAATCCCAAATTACTGTGTGACCTTGAACAAATCATTTAACCAAAGCCTCAATTCCCTCATTTGTAAACTAGAGATACTGCTTCACTCAATCATTAAGAGATTTAAACAAGGTGATTTATGTAAAGTGAATCACCTGGTTCAGCGGTGCACCTGGCACAGAGTAAATAAGTAACAATAATAAGCTGACTGTAAATTAGCACTCTTATCTTTCAACTTCAGACAAAGTCTTCAGCCTTGGTAGCCAAACAAAAAATTCTAGTTATTAAAGCAAAGACATTCATACATAGTTATGTAAAGGTAGCTTTTCATTTCATTACACAGCATAAAACCTACCCTCCTCTTCAATAAAGAAAATTTCAGAAGAGTGATGGACTGAAATGACTATATGAAGGGTTATTTTTCAGTGATACCTAGATTAATGTTCTAACCAGGTTGGAAACTACAGTTGATATTATTAGAACGAAGGAAAGTGAGAAAGAAACCATCCCATATTCCATTAATCAATAGAGAAAAAAAAATAGAAGTTTTACTGTTCACATTAGTTCATGACTAAATTACAAAGTGGGGGAGGGAGGGAATCAAGTAAAATATTTTCACTGTCCAGAAAAATTTATTATCATATCAGCTTATTATCTCAGAGTTTAGTGTAGTTAAAGTGCCCAAATTGATCAAAAAAAAGATCAAGGAAGGAAAGATGAAAATCAATTACTCCAAACACCCACTCTTCTATCCACTAAAGATCAAGGTTTAAATTTCCCACTTGTAGCCAACCATCTTAGACTGCTCTTTAAGGATGCCATTAGCTTACATGTACTGTAACTTGTACTATCTTATTAACCAAATTATTATCCTGGCTAAGGGCAAAATAAAACCTTGTGCATTGTTATTTTTTCTAGAATTCAGAGGAAAATATTAATAGATCAATCAGTTAAAGGATAAATTTCAAAGAAAATAGTGTGAAATGCAATTTTGAGGGGGAAAAATTTCTTACGAAAATGAAAGTCTGAACCAATGGAAAACTGATCAAGGACAACCAAAAATAAATTGAAAATTTGAGTTTGGGATAATTAATGAGCTGTGAAGTGAAGAACTACATTCTCAAAGGGAAAAAAACAGATACAGAAGTGAGGTAAAGAGTTTTCAGCAGGGAATATACATTAAGAGTGTTATCAGACCATCAGGAGATGTGTAAACCCCCCCCAAATGTAAAAAAAAGTTACCTGAATAACTGTGGGTAATTTAGCAACAGAAAGACTAAATAAATATTTAAAATGCATTTTCAAACACTTCAAACCATCTTTCTGTATCACTGCAAAATGACAACTGTTTAGCTGCTCTAATTTGCCAGCTTAGTGGGGAAAGAATAATGGCACCCCCAGAGGAATTCTGTCACCTTGAGATAATGGACATTTTCTTTTTTACTGTTTAAGAATCCAGAAGAATCTCCCCTGCTTTTACATGCAAATTACCAATCTCCAAAGCACATTCTGCTCTATTCCTTTATCTGAAAATTACTGCAATGTGATCCTGTTCCAGCAAGGACACCATTCAGCCAGGAAAAAGGAATTAGGACAACCACACACTCTATGAATATGTTCACATCATCACATCCAGGGAGCTGGTCTCCACTCCCACATGCCAGATTTCAGTGGAAAGAACCTATTTGCTGATCCAAATTCTATTTAAAGAAGGAAAAATTAGCTCGGAGAACTATCAGGTCATTAATGGCTACATATACTTTAACAAGTGCACACATCCTGGTACACACAATTTTTAAATTTAGCTTTGCTTTTCAAATGACAACGCTATTTCTGAAACTTTTTTAAAGGCAGAATTCCAGTAGTAACAGTAAGAGTTTGTCTGTATGTACCTGTTCATTACATGTTCAAACAAACAAAAAAACACCAGGATACAAGAAAGATGGATACTTCATTCTCCGCACTTCACTTCCCTGTAACATGGATTTAGAGAAATACTTCAATTTAATGTACCAGGTAATAAGGTTTAAAAGAACACTTTAATGCAGAAAGATTCAAGAAACAGAGCCATAATAGAGGGATTTAGCTCACTGTTAGAGGTTCAAGCTTTCTGCCAAAACCACACTAGGTCTGGGAAATTTTGTTCTTTGTCAGGTAAATACAAACAAGCCATAGGTAAACCTACCTCTAGTATTTCTAAATTAAATGTTAACTAACTTTAATTAAGAACACAAACAAAAACCCTCTTTCTAGCTAACACATGAATCACATCCAAATGAGTGTGTGTGTGTGTGTGTGTGTGTGTGTGTGTGTGTAAGTTGGCTTACCCCATGCCCTATCCTCAAAGGCAGATCCCAATTTACCCCCAACAGGTCACCTAATCAGGAACCTAAGCTATTGAAAATGTACTTTCAATCTCTGAAACCTCAGTAAAGTTTAAGGAGGGAAATGGCTGTATTTAGAAACGTTATTTACATGTTTTCTAAATGCCTACAATTAGTATACTCAACCCAAAGGCACAGTATGGCATTAGCCAGCCCCTTTCATCTAACCACTCAGAACCCTGGCAAAGCCTCACCGACCCCTCCAGACCAGAGCTCCCCACCCCTCAGAAGGGCAGCGCATGGAATATCATCACATAAGTTAGGAAGCCTACTTTTTGATATGGAGAAAGCAAGGGATGGCAATCTTGTGCTTTTAAAAAACCTAGAAGCGCTTACTAGTTCAATCCGTGCCCAAATCCACGCCACCCTTTCAACTTTGCAATTAAGAGAGGGAAGGAGAAATTCCGGTCAACTCGCCTTGGGGGGTTGGTCTGAGGGTAGAGGACTCAAGTAGGGAGGAGGATGGAGAGAGAAAGAGCAAGCAAAGAAAGATACCAAAATTTCCCACCTTTCTTAAATTCTTCCAGCATAGCGTCCAACTTGGTGTCATTGAAAACAAAGTGCAAGGGGTGGTTATAAAACTTAGTGATGGTTTTCAGGGGAGTACAGTCATCTGGATCCACAAATGCCAAGTCTTTGACAAAGAGGAGGTCCACGATGTTGGAGCGCTCCCCTTCAAATACTGGGATACGAGTGTAGCCGCTCTCCATGATCTCCGACATGGTGTTGAAGTCCAGGATGGCCTCCCCGGTGATCATGAAGCAATCCCGGAGGGGAGTCATCACATCCTCCACCGTCTTGGTGCGGAGCTCCAGAGCCCCCTGGATGATGTTCAGCTCCTCCTTAACGAGGTCGTTATAGGGGTCAGTGACCCGGAGCATCTCTAGCAGTTTCTCCCGATTATAGACTGTGCCTATCTCCTGGCCCAGGACGCAGTCCAGCAGCTTGCTGACGGGGTAAGAAGCGGGGAAGGTCATCATCATGAAAAACTTGGTGAGGAAGATCGTGTTAGCTCCCACTGCCAGGCCGTGCCGGGAGCAGATGGCCTGGGGCACGATCTCCCCGAAGATGACGATGCCGATGGTGGAGACCACCACCGCCACGAGGCCTGAGCCCGCGATGTCGTCGAGCAGGATGGTGAGAGTGGTGTTGACCAGCACGTTGCCCAGCAGCAGCGAGCACAGCAGGTAGTTGCCCTGCCTGCGCACGGGCTCAATGCGCTTGGCATAATTTTTCTCCTTCTCGGTGCCGCAGTTCTGCACGATGCGCAGCTCCATGGGGTCCAGGGCCATGAGCCCCAGGTTAAGGCCGCTGAACATTCCTGACAGGCAGAGGAGCAACGAAATGAAGATCACCTGCAGCCAGAAGGGCAGCAAGAACTTCTTCTCCTCACCTACTATCATCTTGGTGTCCTCGCCGTCGTGGTAAATCCAGGTGGTCTCGGCCCACGGGGGCGGGGGGAGCCCGGCCACCCCGGAGCCACCCTTGCCCCCGACGGCGCCGCCCGCGGACCCCGGACCCCCGGCGCCCAGGGCTGGCGTGGAGAGCGACGTGCACAGGTAATAGGACTTGCTCTTCTCCATCTTGCGCAGCGGTTTGATCTCGATCTCAATGATGCCCGAAGTACGGCGGTTGAGAATGATGTGGGGCAAGATGATGATATCTGAAGTGCGGATGCCGCAGCGCTGGGGGCCGCTGTCCGGCTCTGGGGGCGCGGGACCCCCCAGCCCGCGCTCGCCGGGGCTGTGGCGCCGCCGCTCGTGCTCGGTGAAAGCTATGCGGGACCACGTCTCGTTGTTGATGTTCTGCCCGTACACCCGCAGCTTGACCCGGGTCCGCTCGCTCACCCGCAGCGCCCCTCCTTCCATGAACGACACGTCGTTCGTGTCCTCCAGCCGCAACCCGATGATCACCGTCTCCTCGTTCTCGGCAGCCGCTGCGCAGCCGCCCGCGCCGCAGCAGCAGCTCAGCAGTAACAGCGGCAGTAGCCGCTCCGCCGCCTGCAGGACCCCCCAGCCGCGGGCACTGAGGCTGCGGCGAGCCGCCATCTTCCAAGTGGGCAGTGCGGCGGCTGCCTGCCCGCCCGCCATCTTTACTTCGGGTTCACCAGCGCCACAGCCAATCATAGTGTGGCTGCTCCAGCTGCGGCTTCATCCTTCCTACCCCGCGGCGCGAGCGCAGGCATCGGCCTCGGGGCGAGATTGCAATGGAGTGTCTGCACCCAGCGTCCAGCAGCCCGCCTCCCTGACTGACACTGAGTCGGCCTCGGCCAGCAGAGGCACCTCGAGGCTCGCGGGAGGGGGAGGGCGTGGGGAGAGAGCCAGCCGCTCCCGCGAGAGGCAGGCCGACCAGCCAATCACGAGCGTGCGCCCGCCCTCCCAGCCAGGGGGCTGGAATGGGGGCGTGGCCGTGAGCTGCGCCGCGGACCAATGGCAAGGTAAGTGGGTGGGGCGATGAGGGCCACCGTCCTCTGCACGCCAAGTTTCCAACTGAAAGGCGCGTGACTCTTGTGTATTTGCGAGAGGAGGGGGTGTGACCAGCCGGGACCCGATAGCCAGTCACAGTTGAGAGCTGTACGAGAGGAGGCGGGGCTGCCCGTCCAACTACCAATGAAAAGGGACCGTCTGCGGTCCGCGACTCCCCGAGGACCCTCAGTAGTAGATCCCTGCGCCTGGGTTGGCACGACTGGACCGAAGACCGGGCTCTCTCTGCGCCGCGTTATTGGCTCCCGAGTGCTTAATGTGGTACTGAGAGGGATGCGCTTTTCTGACCCAGGAGCGGGAGAAGCCGGACTAGGTATGGTTTAAGATCCCCACTGGCCTAAAATGAACTCGGAGCATCGTCGGCGCCCCTTCCTCTCTCTATTCGCACGCACTGCTTCTCCAGGGTGAACAGCTATAGCACCGCCCGGCACTGCAGATTCGCTCTCCGGCGCCTCTCAGCCCATACAATGCGGGCGCCTCGCCGTTCACTGTCACATGGCGCCATCTGCTGGCCACACGGGCCATCGCAGCGCTTTTCAGGTCCGCTGAAAACCCTAAAGTATTGGAGGTGGGAAGGCTGAAATTAAGCTGTTTCCCCATCTTCCATGTCATAAAGATCTTCTCATAATCCTGTTGAAAGTGTTTGTTTCCTGGGTATAATTTAGGTCTTTTCCTGCAACTTAACAGAAACAATCCCTAAAATAATTGCTTTTTTTTGTATGCTAGAAGTACTTGTTCTTCTATTCTAGTAAACCAATCAGTTTTTTTCTGATTAATTTCTGATAGGAATGAGTTCAGTGGCATCGTAACTCTTCTACTGTGCTTCTTTACCTTCTGAACCCAGCAGCAGAAAGGTCTTGCTTCCTTGTTTGGAACCCTCCTCTGGTTTCCCATTTCATCACAGTAAAAGGCACAGTACCAGGGCCCTCCCTGGTGGCGTAACGGGTAAAGACAAGGACGCAGCACTGCAAGCTGGCCGCAGAGGCTTCAGCTTCAGTTCCAGTTGGATCTCCCTCCTTCCCCTCCCTACCTCCCACCCCACCAGGTGAACCACAGGGCTGTGCAGACCTCCCTTGACCCGCTCGCTGCTCCCCTCAGCAATGTACTTTGTCAGTCGGCCTGTTCTGCTCCCCACTCTGTATCTGGTGAATCCTCTCACCGTCCCTGCACCTCTGGCTTGTACCCCATTTCTGCATTTAAAAAAAAAAAAAAGCCACAGTATCTACAACAATGGACAAGGTGCTATGGGTCTGCCTTATTTCTCTGATATTATGCCTGCAAGTCTGTGAATGAGGTTTTGTTTTAAATCTGAACTTATTTTTCCAGTATAGCAGTAAGAAATTAGGGATGGCTAAAGCAGAATGACAGTGAGACTTTGCAGCAAAAATGACAGAAAGGCCCCACTAAGATAATTTATAATATATAATAAAATATTTCACACCCAAGTTCACACAGGGGACTGGAAAGTAATGTTTACATGGCTGGTGGGTGAGGGAGTCATACTGGAGTATACATACCCAAGGCAAACAGGCCAATCCAGGTGCCTAATTCAAGTGAGTCCGTCATAGCAAGGAGGCTTTTTAGTTCAAGGGGTTATCCTACCTGTATTGAGGGGCCAGGGTTACTAATACAGGCTTGACTTCCAGGGGCTCCCCAGAATGACACCTGCTTCTAAGAATCTTTCTTGAAGTCTGGAGGAAATAGATGCTGTCTAGGGCCTCCTACAAATACCTTCCCTCACTGATCTCTCTTGCCAGCATCCTCATTGGACTAAAAAAGGAAGAGTATTCAGTGCTCCCATCTGCAGATTCAGAGATATTGGGAGACCTGCATCCAAACCTCAAAGTCTTTCAGTTTGATTTTCTCAAAGATTGCATGTAAAATGCCAAATGGCATGCTGCACATTTAGTTTCTCAATATAAAAGTCTAATTTGGTAGAGAGGCTCACTTCCTTTCCCCTGGAAAACCACCTAGTGTAAAACGGCATTCAAAGTTATTGCTTCAACAGTGACATTTTAATCACACTGAAGCACCAGATCTTTTGAGGACAAACAGAAACTAGGCAAGTATTAGACAGACTTTCCCTACAATTAAATCTGCTTCCCCTGGCAGGACTTTCTCCGAAGCAACATTGTTTATGTAGGTAGAATGCTTTTTGCCTTTTATACAACAGTAGAATCATCAAATCAGCAATGTCATTTACTTTTCCCTAGAGGACTTTTGCAAGCTTGCCTATAGCTCTCATTTTCTAGATGTTTTCTGGACACAGTTACTGAGGTGAGAAGAGAAATAAAAAGCGTGGCTTTCTGAGTTGTGAGAAAATCCTTCTCCCTTGAGGACCCAAACTCCTGGAGTGCTGCCCTTCCTCACCCTACCCTGGGATTCCTGGGCTCAGGTGATTGCAGGGCAGCCACAGGCAGGGGCCGCTGCCCTTGTGCTTCCTGCTCTGCATCCCCGCTCCCTCCCACTCCAGTGCCTCCCCCAAAACCCCCAGTGCCCTATTCAACCTGGAACCTACCCAGTGGGAACCCCAGCCCCAAGAGTTCCCCTGCTGTCTGCAGTCACCCACTTCCTGCACTGTCCCCTCTACCTTAGCGGCTCCTCTGAGAAAGGAGCTTGCAGCTGGAAGTACACAGGCTGCCTTTCTTGGGACTCGAGGCCTCCTGACTGCCAGGCCTGCCACTGCAAGGCTTTCTGTCATGTTTCAGAATGTTCTTTCTGGCTGCTGGTGCATCCAGGCGCAGTCTTCAGCTCAGTGTTGCACAAAAGTGTCTGAAAGTTTCTGAGCTCAGTAATAATCCTTATCACTGACGTAAGAGCTATTCCAAGAAGTACATCTTAGTCTACTTGAGCTGCATTAACAAAACTGAGATTGGCTGCTTTAAATACTAATCACTGTGACTCAAACATGCAGCACAGATCCTGATTTTCAGAAAACCTTTTATGGAGACACAATTTGTAAATGTTGATTAACATAAATGTTGCCTGTTCCAAGATACAAATTTAAAAACCACATCTAAGAAGAGGAAGGAAAACAAGGAAGTCTCTGGTAGGAGGATGGGAACTAGGACGGGACCCACCCTCTACCCAATTCTGAATGTCTTAATTCAAGACTGTCCTTAAGATTCAGACTCAAATGGGTTTGATAATGGAGCTTCAATTTATGTTTCTGCTTCCCAGTCATAAAATGCTAGTTTTCCCCTACCAGCTGAGTTCCTGGAGCCCATGGTCTTTTCTCTCCCCAAAATTTCACCCCATCGTAAATTAAACCTCCTATGAATAGACAAATATGCCAGATCCCAATGTAAAAATGAATCAGAAACTCCTGTCTTGATCCTCTGACATACCTTTTTTTTTTTAAGATTTATTTATTTATGCATACAAGAACTAAAGTACAGGCTGCCTAAATATTAGAAATGGATTTTCTTACTGCCATGGAGGCTAGAAGTCCAAGATCAATGTTCTACAGGGCTGGCTTCTGGTAACAGCTCTCTTCCAGGTCAGCAGTCCACCCCTCTGTCCTCACAGGACCTTTGCTCTGAGTGTGGACACAGAGAGTGCAGGTGCTCTGGTTCCTCTTCTAAGGACACTAACGTTAATGGAAAGGGCTCCATCCTTAGCTACTAAATTCCTCAGAGGCCCCATTGCAGTTACACTGGGAGGTGGAGGATCCCACCTCAGAATTTAGGAGGAGGGGGGACACCTAACACTCAGTCCCTAATAAAAAGGTTGAGAGGGAATAAAGAGAAAAAGACATTCTAGTGGAGGAGAAAAAGAGGTGAAGCTGGAAAGGAGTGTCTAAGTCTGGTCCTACGGCCTTTGAAGGAAAACAGAAATAATGCCAGGAAGTTGGTTGGGGTCAGTTTCTGGTAGACTGAAAGCCAGCTATAGGAGTTTAGATTTCACTCTTAGGCACTTGGGAGTTAGAAAACGTTTTAAACAAAAGAGCTGTGTTGTAGGTGATGCTGGGGCCCTGCCAATTTAAGGCAGTCCTGCTATGCCTTAAATTAGAAAAAAACACCTTCGTGGTTTTCAAGACACTCTGTCATAGATTGTCCTGGGCTGCCCTTCCTGACTAGGACCAAAGAATTTATCACCTCCTCTGCACATACATACCAAGACACAACAACAGCTATCTCAGAACACAGGAGGGAAAACCAGAATGGGACAGCACACCACGCCCGAATCACCACTGCCACGGTGGCTATGCACTGACCATGTGCTGACAGCAAACTATTCCCTCATTTGCCTGAGCTTCTGATCATAGGCCAAAACTCCTGATAAATTTTGAAAACAAAAAATGTTTTGACATAAAATAAACACACAAAAATGTGCCTGGACCAAATTTGTAATAGCTGGACATCCTTATATTATCCAAAAACAAAACAACAACAACAACAAAAAAACATTTAAAAGTGAAATAGGGTACTTAATAATTAACCTAGTTTAAGGACTAAACTGAGTCAATCCCAGGCAGAGATGATGTTCAATTTATAATAACTTAATCGTGGTAAAGGGAATTATCACCTGGTTGTCCTTTCTTGATCATTCTTCCCCACTTTACACTAGCTCCACTATCCATACATTTCCCTTTTAGTTGCTATTATTTGGGAACTTCCCAAAAGAGCAAGAACAAGCCCTACAATGTAATTGTATAAGAGGTAGAAGCCTAGTTCTAGTCTTGGTCCTAACCCTTCTGGACTGTACTTTCTTTGTGCAAGTCACTTAAATATACTCAGCCTGCCTTTTCCCTTCTGTACAATTAGAAAAATCAGCATTTTGAGGGAGACTATGGAAATTTTCAATAGAGGAGCAGGCACTATTTGGGCATGGCTTAGACCTATGCAGTGAATATTGCCCATTACTGGGAGAAATCACCATTGCTAAAGGATTGTATCAGCTTCATAGGCTCCTGCTACATTATTTAAAAGCAAAAAGAAAAATGCCTCCATCACATTTCCTTACTTAGATAATAAAGTTAATTTAAAAATTAATAAAAGACTACTATGCCTAGAAACCACACAAATCCTTCTGCATTTGCTGATCAAAACTTTCCTCCCTAGCAATTTGACATTTTGAGGCTTTGCTTTCCAGAGGAGGCTCATTCAATATTCACAAAGAAAGTCAGTGATGGAAACCTGTTAACCCTGGGAATAGAGAATGAAGTGAACAGGCCACCTCACCTGACACCATTAGGCTCTGAGCTATATGTCAAATTACCATACACAGCTCCAGCTCATGGGGTCCCTCCTGAGAGCATCCCTGCAAAGCTCCACAGGCCCAAAGGCCCTTCTGGGTTTTTCTGCTTGTAATGAATTAAATATGTAAGTCAGATTCATGGCTTAGGCCTAGACCTGCCATCATTTGAACTATAATGGAAAAATCCTCACTTGGTTTTTGACTTTAATGAAACTGTCCTTAACAGGGCCACAAACTCAAAGTCCTCAGGAATCAGCAAAGCTGACTGGATAGGTATGCAGCATGCTGTCTAACGGGACAGTCTCAAGGGAGGGCCAGGGCTCTCTGGCCACCACAGCTGTGCAGAAATGCGTGGTTGCTGAGGCCAGCATTTCTTCTACTTCCACAGAAGCCAGAAATTCATATTTTGGTAAAATCTTCTGATTTATAAATGTGGGCAACTCATTCATGCAATTTAAATACACTGTCACCTCTCCTGAATATAAA